AAATATAAATGGAAGCGTTCTTGTATATAGCTAGAATCTAGGCAAAAGCAGCTGTATTGTTGCTATGGCAACCAGTCATAATGAGCGAGGTTTGTCTGTTGTTAACTGGAGGCAAATCAAAGGGTAAATTACATTTTATCCCGTGTTCCCCTTTAAATGGCTCTGCTACCTTGTACAACACATACGAAGGAGGGAGACACAGATGAATCATCAGCTCTGAATGAGATCCTCAAGTTAAATGCAGTCCTGTGCTTTCCAGTCCTTGGTTTGAGATCTCTCCGTTTATTGGTTCCTACATGGCATAAAAAGTTCTACACTGAGGGATTTTGCCAGTGGGGCTTTGACTAAAAGACCCAGAGACATGAAGGATACAAAGCCTCTCCATAAACAACACCAGAGATGAAAATGTGCCCCAGAGACCTGAAGGATACAAAAGCTTTAGGAAAAGCAAGGAATTTGTGAGAGAAGTCACCTGTTTCTGTTTGTAGTGCAGGAAATGTGCTCTAGTCTGAGGCCACTGATTCAGCCGTAAAATCTACAAATTCCTAGGTTAGCTTTAGATTATGTATTTTCTGAAATGATGATTTTCTCAGAAAGTCTATACGTGACAACACTGAAATGTACTGATCTTATGCGCCATTGGAGGCCTCACTAAGATAATTGCTATGTTGGCAAATAACCTCAGGTACCTGGGAATCTGAATATTTCAAGTGTATGTTTCCCCAATAAGTGTTTAGGAACTATGACATGGCAGCACAGTATCACAATCAGCCACCGGCAGGGAGGAATGGAAAATTTCAGGTAGATAGGCAGGATACAGACCCAAGAAGTCGGATGTGTGATCACCTCTTTATTACATCATAATGATTTCCCTTTTGATAATTGGATTATTGTCCTAGCTAACCTACATTATTTCGTGCCATCTACTTTCACTTTCATATTTTTCTGTCGCAGCAAACATTGAGATGGGAGGGAGAAATGAATCAGCAGCTCTGATGTGGATCTCCATGGTTTCCACAGGCTTTGTTCCTATTGGTGGAATTGAGATCATTCTCCTCATTGTTACGGGGAAAATTTGAATGCACATGCTCCTTCAGAGGAGTCAGAAGAGCGAATAATATTGTCAGCATAGCTGTTCCTTTTTAGTCGGCCTCTTTCTTATGCCAGCTCTCAGCTGCAAATATTTATAACTGAAACCCGAATGCACATTGGCCCAGAAATGACAGACTGCTCTTGATATCTCTATGAGAAAAATCCCAGGGTAACTAGCAGTCAGGTACTGGTTCATTCCCAGTATTGCAGTTCAGAGTCACCTGTTATGGTCTGCGCATCATGTCCGTCCCTGCTTCTGAAACCTCTCCTTCTCTTTCAACTTGTGGCACCACTATCCCTGTCTCGAACACTGCAGTATTTGCAAAGAAATAATTCCCTTTAAGTTTTAGTATTTGACAGCGTCAAGACGAGTCATGCCCTTTCCTCTTTTCTCTGAGTTTCAATGTGAAAATTGGTATAACATTGCACTTTTATTTTACTGAAAATAGAATCATTGAAAATATTATGCAGTAACATCAGAAAGCAGTACCCAATCTGTCACCAAGACTGAATTAGAATAAGGTATACAAGAGGAAGCCTACTTCTTATCATCCTGTTGCTTTTAAGGTTCTCACAGTCTCAAATTTGTTGTTTTGATTGACATAGTCTTTATGTATTCATATATAAATATTCTTCTAGATGAAACATTCTCAAGTTTTGCCCATTCCTAATTAGGAAATCAGACAGCACGAGCGTTTTGGAAATCGAGTGTTTATTGATGATGGCAGTAAAGATTTTTAGTCTTTCTTCTCTTGAAAATAATTAACACAATAGATATCTTTGTTATTGTGTGTCTTGTTTTATATGCTTTGAAAAAGCACTGAACTTACCTAGACTTAGATTCCTGCCATTAAGGCTTTTTGAGTTATGTCTTCCATTATATAGTCATAATAACAATATTTACTTGATTTCTTGATTTTTTGACACTATGACAAATATATATCTGAAGCATTCTTACCATTTTATATTTTCAGGCATGTAGGTAATGAGAGTGAAGAATTTTGGTCAAGCTAATTTCAGGATTAATCTTCAGTTATAGCCCACGTGGGTAACCTTGTTTAATTTACTGATAATAGCAGAATTACTGACATTCTATGATGATAAAAGTATATAGAAACTTCATAGTCAGGTACTTTCCACCGTATTGACAGTTATAGGAATATATTTGAAATGGTCTGTAAATGTCTAGTTTTGACTAATAGTCATGACTTTGGCCAGTAAACAAATTAAATAACACACTACTTGAATCTGAGTGAGAAAATGTGATACCCCACATAGTATAAGCATCTCAATTACTTTCTAATATTTATATAAGTTCATGTATGTGTACATTATGAGATTAACTATGCATAATTATATTTATACATAAATATGCATTCATGTGTATACTATCTTCACATAGTTTAGAATTTCATACATAATTTCACTATTTATGTTATTTCATGCTCATTCTTCTTCCTCCTTTAAAACAATATCTGTTTTAAAAGTATCAAAATAAATCCTGCTACATAATATAAGTATTATATTTTAATGTGTAATATAATTGTATACATTAGTATACATCAGTATTCCTACTGAGTAAACATTGTTGTGATTTTGTATAGCCAATTTAGCCTTGACCTTTTCTAATTCAATGGCCTACCAATATAACTATAAAGTAAAGAACGATCCTTTCTTTCTTAGTCTCCAATATTTGTCAGTGACTTTTCTGCTAATTGTGTTACTTTTAGAAAGTTTTCCTCCTTTTTTGACATTTCAATAGTGGATGATATTATGCTAAACATTTTTCCTTGTTTCTTTGCTTTTATTTAATTTTAATTTGCATTCAAGCTTTCTAAAATTTTGCTCTTTAATACCTTAAATTTTTCTGTTTTATTTTTTTTCTGGAAGTTATAACCAAAGCTTTTTTGGGCTCTATGGATAATATGTTTAGGGCAGAGTTAGAAATTATATTTCCTTCAGAAAATGTGCAGAAGAAGCTTCTGGTTGTGTTATCACTATCTCACAAAAAATATAGAGTAGGCTCAACTATTGTAATTCACATATTTTTCTCTCTGTCAGTTGTATATCTGTATTTCTAAAAGGTCTAAGAGTAAAAAGTTAGACATGTCTATGAATATGAAATCAGTAATAACCTCTGAAAAACTAAATTTTTACAAATGATGACATTTGAATTAGGTGGAGAAATCACGCATTTTACCTTGATATGTTGTAGTCCTGTTAGTTGTGGGTTTGACTTTACCATATTAGGATGATTATAATTATAGCTATAATAACGATTTAGGAGAATAACTCTCAGATACGTATAGAGAAAGATATTGTTTAAATACCTTATTCTTAAGATAAAATCCAACACTTAATTTGATTAATTCTTTGTAGATATGTATGGGAGTCTCCTGAATGTTGCTCTTCTTTGATATATGTGTGGATTTTACGAAAACAACAAAGACACTTTTGTGATCCTACAGTTTTAGTTCAATCTGTAAAAATGAAAAATATACAATCAGAGAAACGAAAGTAGTAGAGTATGTAGTTACATATAAAAACATCAGTATCTACCCTAAATAATAACCCTTATGGTATTTTCTGCCTTTATGTTCAAAAAATTCACATACTCATAGCGGGTTCTGTCCATGGACAGGTAATTTGAAATATTAACACCTAGATCTATTTCTAATATAAGCATGTGAAAAAAACTGGTAAACAAACATTATCATGTTTTCCCAGGACATTAAGCATATACAGGAAATGCAGGAACTCTGAAATTTACTTGCCTGTTTTCAGACCACATGTGGCAAATTTCAAGGCGGTAGCATATTATTATACTAACACACAGAATTAGTAATTGATTTGTATTTATGTATATGTACAGTTGCATTATTGAATTTAAATTGTGTAAGTTTGCATTTGTAATTGTTTCATTACAAAATCCAGAGAATGTTCTACAGTATTATGAGGAACATCATGAATTCAAATTATTATCAGAATGGCTTATATTATTTACAGAAATGATGAAAGGGGAAAGATAGAGTTTCTTAGGTGTGGTAGCTTTGAAATGATGCCAGTGTTCTAGAAGAATGCCCCATATTCAAACACAAACACACACACAAACACACACACACACACACACACACACACACTCACACATTTTCGATGAAGTCCTATGTCACTGAAAAGAGAGACAGATAAATGACCTGAGTATGGAGAACTGATATTGGTGATTACAGCAAAAATCTAGAAAAGGCAATGCAGTGAATTTTATCAAAATTTGAATGTTCATATAAAAATACCATTTTGACATGTTTTATGTCAAAAGTATTAATTGAGATTATTACTCTGAATTTGATTTCAAAACATGTACACATATGTAAAGCAATAATACAAGCATGCAGACAATTGTGATACTGGAAATAATATGTATATTGTGTTTTTTTCTAAATGAAAAAATCAAACTTTTACTAAATTATGATGACATTGTTAGATACCTTATGCAATTTTTGCATGTTCAGAACTGGGTTTTAAAATAACATTCCTATATAGATAATATCCTTATTAACATAATTTTTATGTAAAAATACATACATATTGGTATAGTTGGTCCTTCTGTTTATGGGTTGCTATCATAGATTTAGGAATACAGATACTGCCTTGGCCTTTGATAGGACAGAACTTAGGTAGGGAGCAAAAAAGAACTGAATGCAGGGAGAAAAAAAGCAGAGGAGAGAGCTGCCATGGAGCCACCAGAGTCAGCCATGCTGAATCTTTCCCATTAAGCCACTGCCATGAGGCAATATGCAGATTGATAGAAATGGGTTAAATCAAGATGTGAGAGTTAGCCAAGAAGAGGCTAGAGCAAATGGGTCAAGCAGTGTTTTCATTAATATAATTTCTGTTTGGTTTTTTCCCAGCTAATCAAGCCTGGTGTCTGGGACAAAGAAACAGCCTTTGCCTGAAACAATTGGTGGTCAACGTGATCAACTAAATCAATAAAATATATGAACTACAAAAGGTCTGAATAAATGCAACTACTTATGTTATACACAACAAACTCACACTCTATACACATTGTGGCAATTATGTGTATCCATTATTTTTTTTCAAAGTTTATTAAATTATGAAAGTTTCCATTTCCGCCCCTCCTCCCAACATCCTCCCGCTCCTCCCCTCCTCCTCCTCCTTGCTCTCCATCCCTAAGAGCAGTCAGGGTCTCCAGCACTGTGGGAAGTTCAAGTTCCTCCCCCCTCCCTCCAGGTCCAGGAAGGTGAGTATCCAAACAGACTGGGTCCCAAAAATCCAGTATATGCAGAGGAAACAAGTCCCAGTGTCATTGTCAGTGGCTTTTCAGAAAGGCTCCGGGCCAGCCACATTCAGAGAATCTGGGTGGATCACTTGCTCGTTCAGTCCCAGTCCAACTGGCCTTGGTGAACTCTCATTAGATCAGTTCCCTTGTATCAGTGGGTGATCACACCCCTCGCGGTCCTGAGTTTTTTTTTCATGTTCTTCCTCCTTCTGCCCCTCATTTGGACCATTATTATCATTATTCTTGTGAAATTGAAAGACTATCTATGTTATTGTAATTTAGAATCAGATTATTTCTATTCTGAATCAGGTATTTGTCCTTGGCTGTTCTCCTAAGTGTGGGAAATTGAGAAAGTCTCCATCTGTGTTGAAATTACAAATTGTGATGTCATTGTGCAAACCTGTTGACTTTTTTTTCTTTTTCTTTTCTTTTTTATTACTTTTTGGTGGAATTTAAGACTTCTAAACTTTGCTTTTGAATACTCTGTCCTTGTTAGAAGACACTGTCATCACACAGATATCCTATTTCTTATGACATGAAATTGTATCTGACCTTTACTTGCATAATTTTTTGAGTGTTTAGAAAAGTGGTGATTTGTGTGGTGTAAGAAGTTAGGAATAGAGGAAACATTGTAAACTTTTGCTATTTGAACAGATGGATAATTTTGCAATATTGCTGTAATATGAAACATCAGAGTTTCAGGACCACATTTCAGCAATCTCATTCCATTCCCTCTTGGTGAGCACAAGCAGCTACATTATCATCCATTCTGATATTCCTGTGGTCAGTCCACTACACGAAAATTTAAATAAACCATTGAGGTTCATTTTCTTCCTGTAAACACACACACAAGCTTGCACTTGAGAAGATATTATAACAGGGTTTTGTCCTTTCCATAATTCATCACAATGGTCTTTCCACTTTCCTTTATACAAACATCACTTCTACATCATCATGCCAAAATCTATGCATGGTATAATGCTTGTGGGAATCCACATTTTGAAAATTTAGAATAAAAAGGGCATGATGCCATGCTTTATGTGGTGACTGAAGTATAACTCTCCTTTATTTATTTATTGCAATTGTATATTCAAGAAGCCAGGGACATGGTCCACTTGAGTCAGCCCTTGACTTGCAGCATCAATATAGTACCTTGGGAAAACAGGGTCACTTCTCCATTTACAAATCTCACTGCATTGCTCAAGATTTTCTGTCAACAATTTTAAAATAGGCACAGTCACTGACTATTTACCAATCATTTCTGAAATTCCTTCAAAGTTTGCAAGCTATCTTTTCTAATTTCCAATTACTGAGTCTTAATTTCTGTAGAATAAGACATGTGTACTGAAAATGGGAAAGGTGGCTGCATTTGTATTTTCTGTGGGGAATTAACTACCCACAAGGGCAAGGATCTGCTGAAGCTGTCCAAGTGTTGCGATCAATTCCTTTATTTTTCATGGACAAACAATATCCGTAATGGGTAATGTAAACTTGTTAAAAAATATTTTGAATATTTTCTATTACATGATGCACACATATCTGGCATAATACACTGTTTTCCATTACCTGAGGCAACACTTATCAGTGATATCTCCCAATTTGCTCCTTTAATTGGCTGATAGAGCACTACTTGAAAAACTTTGAAAATATTTTGGAGCCAAAGGGATTGTAAAATCAGTCTATTAAATCTAAAATATTTTATAGGTATCATTTGGACCATACCTTAATGAGAAAATAATCCAGTCTAGTCTCTAAAGCTCAACCTAGATGCATGGTCTCATTAACTATTTATAATTCTTGTATCACTTTCCATTTTCCAGATTTCTATGTTGTGAGGGAACATATTTACCTGTTTTCCCTTGCAAAGCAGCAGCCATAACTAGTCCTTGAATGTATGAGGATAAAATTCCTCAATTTGAATGTGATCAGAGTTGGCTCCTTTGTTTGTAACAAATGTCAAAACAGCCTGTTATGTTACTTTAGTATTCTCATAGGCTAGCTATTTAATAGTCAAAATTTACCTTCTGAGTCCCTAATTATTCTTATTGAAGGCTACATCAGGGTGGAGACAAAATCCTGGAACAACTCAACAGGTCCCTGAATTATTTAAGGTAAGTCCTCTTTCTGCTCTCCTGAAGAAAGAAATTTACTCCAAGAAATAGTTGGGCCAGATTACTCACATCTGTGGCCTGACTTTGTTCTGAAAACTCAGTTTTCCTCATCAAGTAGGCTTTTTCTTTCAGGCAAGCTTTGGCCACCTATTTTCAATCCCTGGAGTATGGCTTCAAATCCATATACTCTAGCAGCATGTGTAAAAGGAGAAATCTTACCACACTGAGCTCAGGTAGCTTTTAATACTTTGCCTTGTTTGAATGGTTTCAGGCCTTGTTGTCAGAGTAGATTTTCCTGAGCATGTCATTGCTCTAATCTAGAATCATTTGAAATCCCTGAACATCTTTTTATTGGCTTGTTCCTTCTCTGGAAACTAGCTTGTACGAGAAATACCCAACAAAAGTTGGGTGTTTGCCTTGCTCCAGGAGATCTCCGCATCATAGATGGATCTAACACAGCCACTATGGTAGAAGAGAAGTGCTTTTATTACAGATTTTCAGAGCCTCCTACTTCTGTGAAATTGAAATTACTATGTCTCTTAGGTCTTTTAGCTCTTGTTCTAGCTTTCCTATATCTTTGACTCTCCGAATTCCTAGTCAGAAGTGCATGACTTTAAAGATCCTCAGTATGGTACTTGTTGGCTTCTTCTTCAGCTTAGTAGACTCAGCCTGATTATATCACAGTACCATAAATGCTTCTTAATCTATCAGCTCCTCTGTCTGCAGAGAGTCTTGTCTCACTTCTAACCATTTCAGGGGAACTATCTCTTCTTTTCAGGGTGAAATCTAACTCTTCCTTATAAGCACAAATGAAGTAATTTGTGCTGCCAGAAGTAGACATGTTTTACTGTGGAGAAAATTGTAAGTTCTTAAAGCCTTTTCAATGCCATATTCTATCGCCCTTTGAAGTGTTGAAGATTATCTATTTAACTAAACTATACCTCTTGCATATCTAGAAAACCTAAATAATGTTACTAAGAAATTGGTTATTATATATGATTATCTATTAATCTATATTTCTTAACTATATGTTATATTTAAATGATCTGCAAAGAAAATACCTTAACCAAGAGCAGAAATACATATACCAAAATCAACCTTAAATTTTTATCAGTAAACTAAGATCCATAGCAATGCAAAGTGTTCATCTCTTTATACAATATCCCACTTTAAATAAAGGTCAACATAAATAATTATTTGGAAACTTGCATGTATTTTTCTTCAATTTGCTTCCTGCTGCTTGTTGGAAGACTTTTTATAGGGTTTCTGGATACGTTTTGGAAGGTGTCGCTCAATCAAATAACAGTAGCCTGGAAACAATTCACAGGTTCTCAGCTTCTATGTGAATAAAAGCAGGATATCTTTCCAAAAGTAACATATCCACCATGTAGTGATGGTACACAACTGTAACCCCAGCACTTGGGACTCGGGAGTCAGAGGAAGGTGGATCTCAGTGAGTTTGTGTCCAGCCTGGTCTACAAAGCTAGTACCAGGACAGGCTGCAAAGCGAGAGAGAAACCATGTCTTGAAAAATCGAAAAACTAAAAGAATATCTTAGATTTAAATTTTGATGCTTTTAAAATATATGTTTTCATATTCCATAGGAGCATAAAGAAATCAGAGCAATAAACATAATTCATACACTTTGTGTACATTCTTTCTTTATGTGGCTTACTTTTTATGATATTACTTATCATTTAATTTATTATCTTTACTCCTTTAATCTATGACAGTCTCTACTGTTTTGTTATATTTATTATCTCTAAAAAAATTTGTTTAATTTTTTAAAAGCTGTTTTATTATATACCTGCCTATATCAATTTTATTCTTAAGTCTATGAACATTTTTCAAACAACTTTGTCCTCTTCAGAGGTTTATTTTTAATGAATCTATTTTTATTGCATATGTGTAATTATTTTTTTTCACAGGAGAATTTTTTTTTATTTTTCATGTTTATCAGGTGTGAAAAGGTCATCCTGACTCCTTTGCCTGTTGAATCCACCCAGTGCAAGATGACGGCACATGTTTGTTCACCACCTCCGCAATCAATGATAATGAATGCCTTAGTTCTAGGGACACTTGGGGTCTATGTCAACATAAAACATTTTGTAGCATACTGCTCACAAACCCAATTTAAGAACTCTGAAGCTGGACATTCTACAAGGTCCAGAGTCCTTTGTGCTTCCAGTATGAACCAGGAAGCTGTCCCATTAGTGAGTCACATTTAGGGTCTAGCTCAAGGAGGGGGATATTTGAGGTAATTTCTATGGTTATTTTTTTCAGTTATCCAATATATCATAAAAAATCAATGAACTTTCCTCTCATAACAACTGTTCATTTCATCCTGGAATGCAATCAAGAATATCACAGCACACTTTATCAATTTAGAAGTTTGTAAGTCCTATGTCACCAACAATTACTTGCAACACAAGTCATCTTATAAATAGCCTTCATTATTCACAGAGTTGGAGCCTCAAAATTTATGTTTTTATATTTGATGTACAATATAATATTTACAACTAGAATCTCTTTATAACCTTAATTACCTGGTGATTATGATTTATGTAATACTCTACTTTAAAATCCTCAGTGATTCTTTGTACACTTTGTGAATAAATTTTCCACAATTAATTCTTAAAACAGACTTGAATGCCTCTTAGTTAATAGCAGTTGTGAGACTTGATCTACTTGTGTCACCCCTGACAGTGGGAGTAGGCTCTGTCCATGCTATTGGGCTGGTGCTCTGTAACCTACTCCTCATAATGGATAACCTTATTCTGCCTAAACACAGGGGTAGGTGTTGGCCTTATTCTTATTGTAGAGTGATATGTCATGCTGTTCTGGCATCCATAAGAGGCCTGCCCCCATATTATGGGAATACTGTAGAGGAGTAGAGTAAGAAGTGCTAAGGGGGGAAATCGGGAGAAGAGATGGAGGAGCAATCTGCCGTCAGGTTTTTTAAACAAAATTTGCACAAATGAATTAATGAAGGAACAAATACATAGTTATAAAGGCCATTTGCAAGTAATAAAAATAAAAAACACAGATAATGTAAGGCCCCGCCTTTTCTGTGAATACCCACACCCGATCCAAGCGTGCGCTTTCCCGAATTCGGGCCCACGAGAATGGACGATTGTCCTGAGGGTTTGAACAGACACACACAAAAGAGACCTTGCTCACTTACCAAAGAGTAATTGGCCACTTTATTAAACTCAAGTCGGGTATTTATACCAGTGGGCAAGAGGGTTCAAAAGGGCAAGGCCTCCTCCCATCAGGAGCAGGAGAAGGAGATTACAGGCCCAGGCGCCTCAGGCAGAATCAGCTGGGAGGGGCAGGCTATGGGCCCACTGCTAGAACCTAGATTACAGGTGGAATCACCATAACAAAGTGATCCAGGTTCTTTGTAAACTATACCCTCAAGCCAGTGCTAGTGCAGAATCTCCAGGGAGCCGGAGGTCACACGGCCCTGCGAATCACCAAGGAAGAAAAGGGGAAAGACCTTGGTACTTACAAGATAATAAACCAGATGCTGAAAAATAGAAAACTACAAAAGTGAGATGACAATAGAAAGCAATATTAATCTGTAAATTAAAGGTAAATTACTTCTTTATGGATCAATAAAATAATGATTAGCTCTGAGAAGAAATATTGAAGAAAACTTATAAAAACTTTCAAATTACTACCTGTCAAACTTTCCATTTCTTTGCTTTGTTGTGTCAGTAACAGTTGCCATGTTTCTTGCTCCTGTGAGTCAAGCATAGCCTGCCACTATTGAAAGAATGAAAAACCACCCAGAGGGTGTCTTAACCACGTGGAGAAACCCTCGCCCAAGAACAGAGTCCAAGCCACTGGATGCAAAAGCAAGAGGCAATTTTTTTATTGTTCACACAGGGCCTGTGGGTGCTGCAGTCACATGGAGAGCTGAGCACCCCGGGCTGGGTTTTGGGGCAGATTATATAGGGTCGGTGTAGGCAGAAGCGAGCGTACAGAAGCAGATGCATGGTTACAGGGGTCTCATTGGTCAATTTTAATGAGGCCATGAGGTCATGTCTAAGACAGGTGTTGGCTTTCTGCTGGGTGCCTGACAGTTTGGGGGCTTTTTGACAGTTTGGGGACTTTCCATTCCTCCCCCTTAATCTTGTTCATGTGGGTAGCATAACTCCTGGTGTCTAACCGCAGGTATTCTGTTATGCAGACTCGACAATAACATCTGTGCCTTTGTTAGGAGCCCCAAGACCTTGTTATGAGCCCCCAGTTCTTGGTTCAAGCCTTGCATATAATGGCGTTACAGCAGCTAAACAGCCAGGCTGGGGTCTTTCATTTCCCCCATTTCTATTTAAGCTGAAGTAAAATCCTTTACTTATGGGTTCAAGAGAACTCTGTTTCCTGTTGTCTTAAGACCTGGTATTGGTGAGTTAGAACCAGAGTCTGGATAACTGATAAATGATTTTTCATAAATTGCACCAAGCAATTTAGGATGCAGGGTCCAAAGGTCAGGATTAGGAGGAGAATTATCAGTGGATCCATCAGGGTAGATAATAATGTGGCATACTAGTGGGATTTATCAAACCAGCCTTCAAACCAGCCTTGTTGGGATTTATATTCTTTCTCTCTCTGGGCTAGTCTTTCTCTGAGTTTGTCCATGGTCTCGCATACTATGTCAGGCTGGTATGCATAAAAACAACATTATTCTTTTAGGGCTGCATATAATCCGCCTTCCTTTAAAAATAGTAAGTCTAGACCTCTCCTATTCTGTAATACTACCTCAGATAGGGAGGTTAGGGATCTCTCCAAGGCCCTAATGGAGGTTTCTATAGCTTTTAAGTTAAAGTGCATGACCTCTTGTAAGGCCTGTAGGTTCCCTGTTTGTAACAATGCTTGTGTGCCAATTCCTATCCCAGATATTATTCCTCCAGTTCCCAATAGGACAGCATGTGTCATAGTTATTGGTTCTCTCTGATATCTATTGGTACCTTCAAAGAATTTATATATAGTTTCTGAATCATGATAATCCTAGGCCATAATTGAACTAAAATGCAATATTCTTCAGTTTGATTCCAAATTTGTGCTGAAATACAAGGGGTGAGACCAGTGTTGCACGCCCAGAAGGTGCCATTTGGGGCCATAAGATAATAGTCCCCATGGGTGAGGTTCTGGACCGTGTGAATGCATAATGCTTGATGGGATTAAGGCACCTTGCCTAAACAGGTCCCTTGACCCGATATCTCAGGCAAGGTCAGTTTGTGGTGGGGTAAAAGGGAACATATGGCAGAAGAGAAAGTATGATTAGTAAAGTTTCTCATTGTGGCTATTCCTTCATAGTAAGGAGGTCCTGAATTCAAGCAAAGCCAACAGTCCTTAGCTCTATTGGGGTCTGAATAGTTAAGAGCCTGATATGTCCCCCCTGATTAAATTGATGAGTCTGTCCCCCGTCCCCGGGAAGTGCTCCCGGTGGCTGGTAATAATAGTAGTACCTAAACTATTCAGCATTAGGGTTGCTCATGGTTGGGGTTCTGGTGGAATTTTCTTTGGCTATTAATATTGGTTTAGGTGCCGAGGCCTGGGAGGTAGGCGGCCTTTGGTTTGACAGGACCTGATTTGGACCAACTGGGTGGGAGGCTGAGATTGAACTTATAGATCGAGAAAGGGAGAATAAGGTGAATGGATACCTACCTGGGCGGTATAAATGTAGCCCCCAGGTTTTAGTACCATCCCAGAGATTATCTTTCCCTTTTAGGGTGAATGAGAGGAGGAGGAGATTGCATCTCCCCATGGACCCATTCAGGCATGTCCTATAGTCTTTGCTCGCACCTGCCGTCAGCTCCCTGGGGCTTCCTTGACTGTTATCAAATCCCAGTTCGAGGAGGGTCCCCAACTCGTGGTGCCAGTCGTCTCGCAACCCCAATTAGCACAGTATCCTATTTCTGGCCCACCGCAGTGGTAAACCTTACCTTGATCTCTCCCTGACCCTGGACAGACATAAATCCCTCTCGTACTTATGCAAACATCTCCCTCCATCATTAGTTGGCATATATCAAACCAAATATCTGGAAAGTAAAGTTTAAGGGTGGATAATTGCGAGGTGCGATTGATAGGATTTCCCATCAACAAATTAGATAGCGTCCAGGTGATGTTATAAACAACATGGGGACTGGTGCTATCAATGCCCCTCGGAAAGAGCATCAGGGTGAGGATTATGAACGAGTAAGTCTTATCTTTAGGGGGTTTTGAGAGCTTTGGAGTTTCCGTGATGGTTCTGGATCTGATTGGTCAGGAAGGTGTTCCAGTTGAGCAGCCTTGACATGTGGATCCAGGCAGCAATCCCGTCGACCTTCAATGCCGTGGGTGTAGTCAAAAACACAGTATAGGGTCCTTTCCAACGGGGTTCGAGATTCCTAGTTTGGTGTCGTCGAACACAGACGGAATCGCCAATCTGGAATCGGTGAGGTACAGTTACTGAGTCAGCAGTTTCTTTATAAGCAGCTGCAAGGGGTTTCCAGACCTCCCTCTGCACCAGTTGTAGGGCCTGCAGATGAGCTTGAAGAGAGGGGGAGTCAGCGTAATCAGAAACATCAGTATCAAAAAAAGTCATTGCAGGTGGCGGTGCACCATATAGGATTTCAAAGGGAGTCAGCCCATACGGCCCAGGGGGGTTCCTGGCCCTGTAGAGAGCCAGTGGCAGGAGGGTCACCCAATCCTTCAGGTCAGTTGCAAGCGATGATTTGGATAAGGCCTCCTTGATTGTTCTGTTCATTCTTTCTACCTGTCCTGAGCTCTGGGGTCTATAGGCACAATGCAATTTCCAATCAATCCCCAGTAACTTGGCCATCAACTGACTTACCTGGGAGACAAAGGCAGGACCATTATCAGACCCGAGTACCTTAGGCATCCCATATCGAGGAAAAATTTCTTCCAGTAGCTTCTTGTTTACAACTTTTGTAGTTTCATGCTTGGTGGGGTAGGCTTCCTCCCATCCTGAAAATGTATCTATGAAAACTGGAAGGTATTTATAACCATACATGCCAGGCTTAATCTCAGTGAAATCTATTTCCCAATGTGTCCCTGGTCTGTGCCCCCTGAGGCGAACTCCGGGAGCAATCTTAGTCCGGCCTGGATTTACCTGTGCACAGGCCTTGCAATTATTCATTGCCTTTTGTAGGGCCCCATCTCTGTTCAGGAGATATTGCCCAGTCTCCACACGTTCAAGCAGGACCTGCATCTTCTGGGCGCTCAGGTGGGTTAACTTATGGAGGTGATCAATCAATTCAGCAGTGATTTTCATGGGAATTACAGTCCTTCCTTGGTAGACCCAGCGGTTGCGGGACGGGTCATAATCAGCCCCTAACTTCTGTATCATGTCCAGGTCCTCATCAGTATAATCCCAGTCTAGGGATTTGGGGCTATTCTGTTCAGCAAGAATGGTGGCTGTCAGGAGCTGGGGGCCCAGGGCAGCTTGTCTGGCTGCCTCATCAGCAAATTGATTTCCTTTTGCCTCAGAGCTATTGCCCTTTTGGTGCCCTGGACAGTGCATAATGCTCAGTCTCTTGGGAAGAAAAAGGGCCTTTAGTAACGCCAAGATATCAGTCTTATTTTTAATCTCTCTTCCCTCTGAGGTTAGTAGTCCCCTTCTCCTAAAGATTTCTTCATGTATGTGAGCAGTGGCAAAGGCATAGCAGCTGTCTGTATAAACACTGAGTTTCTTACCTGCTGCCAGCTGGAGGGCTTGTGTCAGAGCTATAAGTTCTGCGAGTTGAGCAGAGGTGCCTCCCGGAAGGGTGCTGGCCTATATTACCTGTGTCTCAGTAGTCACTGCTGCTCCCACCCGTCATTCCCCGTTTAACAGATAGCTACTGCCATCTGTGTACCAGGTTAAGTTCGCATCCTTGAGGGGCTGGTCAGTCAGATCAGTGCGGGTTCCATGCATTTCCGCAAGGATTTGTTGGCAGTCGTGGGATGCAGGCCCCTCTGGCAGGGGCAGCAATGTTGCTGGATTGAGGGCAACTATCAGATCAAACTGGATTCGGTTCACATCCAGGAGCAGGGACTGTTAATGAGTCATGTGGGCATTTGACAGCCAGCGATCAGGGGGTTGGCAGACAAGGGACTCAATGGCATGCGGTGCCAGTATGGTCAATGGCTGTCCCAGAGTCAATTTGGCGGCATCTTTAATGAGGACTGTGATAGCCACAATCATTCTTAGACGGGGGGCCATCCGGAGGCCACTGGGTCTAGTTTCTTGGACAAATAGGCAATGGGACGTCTCCATGGCCTAAGTCTCTGAGTTAACACCCCTTTTGCAAAGCCTTGCACAAAAAGTTCAAATGGCTTAGTTATGTCTGGCAAGCCCAAGGCTGGAGAGGAGAGGAGTGCCCTCTTGATATTGTCAAAAGCCTGCTGTTGAGGCTCAGACCAGTTAAAGGGGGCTCCTTGCTTTGTTAGTGGGTATAAGGCAGCTGCCATCTCTGCGAACCCTGGGATCCATAGTCGACAGAACCCAGCCGTCCCTAGGAATTCCCGCAGCTGGTGATGGTTCTGGGGCATGGGGATATGGGATATAGTCTCTTTCTGAGCGGCAGTCAGCCATCACTGACCATCCTGTAGCTTGTATCCCAAATAGGTCAACTCTGTCTGGCAAATTTGAGCCTTTTTAGCAGAGGCTCTGTATCCTAGCTGCCCCAAGGTTTGCAATATGGCCACAGTACCTTTTTGACAGTCCTGTTCAGTTGGGGCTGCTAGTAGCAGGTCGTCCACATATTGGAGCAGGATTGATGAGGGGTGTTGGATCCGGAAATCTGCCATGTCTCGATGCAGGACCTCATCAAAAAGGGTGGGACTGTTCTTGAATCCTTGAGGGAGCCGTGTCCAAGTCAGTTGTCCTGAACTTCCTAGCTCAGGGTCTTTCCATTCAAAGGCAAACAGAGGCTGGCTCTGGGGGCTCAGTCTTAGGCAGAAAAATGCATCCTTTAAGTCTAAAACAGTAAACCAATGGTGGGTTGGTGGCAGCGTGCTCAACAAATTGTAGGGGATTGGCACTGTGAGGTGAATATCTTCCACCCATTTGTTTACTTCTCTAAGGTCCTGCACAGGACCATAGTTCCCGGTGCCTGGCTTCTTTACTGGTAAGAGGGGGGTATTCCAAGGGGACCTGCAAAGAGTCAGGATTCCCTGGTCTAAAAGTCTTTTTATATGGGGCCTTATGCCCTGATAAGCTTCATTGGACATAGGGTACTGTTTGATGAAAATTGGAGTAGCCGTGGCTTTGAGGTCTATAACCAGGGGAGACTGCTGTAGGGCTAGCCCCATGCCTCCAGTTTCAGCCCAGGCCAGTGGATAACGCTCCAGCCATGAGTCCAAATTATTTTGATTTTCTTTTGGCTGCTCATATAGCCGGTATTCATCTTCCATTTTAAGAGTCAGTATGTGGAGAGGGGTTCCATTTGGTCCCGATACGTTGGCCCCTGTCCCCTCAAAGTGAATTTGAGCCTTTAGTTTGGTCAATAAGTCCCATCCTAATAATGGGCAGGGACAGTCCGGGACATGCAAGAAGGAATGAGATATCTTACTGGTCGCAAGGTGTAACTTCCATTCAGTGGTCCAATGGTATAGCTTTCCTCCTGTGGCCCCTTGCACCCAGGCGGTTCAGTTGCTGAGAGGGCCTGGGGACCTAGTAAGGACTGCATGCTGTGCTCCAGTGTCTACTAGGAAGGTGACCGGTTGCCCCCCTATTTGAAGAGTTATCCTGGGCTGGGGGGGGGTGTTCCTGGCCTTGACTTCCCTAGTCTTCATCCAGGGCCAAGAGTGAGGTCTTTGGCCCCAGATTCTTCTGTTTTCTGGGTCTCTTTGGGCAGTCCTTGACCCAGTGTCCTTTTTCTTTGCAATAGGCACATTGGTCTCGGTCCACCCTGGGTCTCCTTTGCTCTCCCAGCCTGTCTGACCTGTGACTACTCTGTACGGTGATGGCCAAGAGACGGCTAAGTTCCTTATTTCTCTTGTGGTCCCTAGAGTTCTCCCTTTCTTCAGCCTCCTTCCTAAGTCTGTCTTCCCTCTGTTCTGACTCTCTAGGTAGGCATTCTTCCTTTTCATCTGGTGTTTCCCTTTTGTTAAATATGCACTCTGCCTCCTTCAGTAAAATCTGAAGTTTGCACTCCCAGAGATTATCTAATCTTTGTAGTTTATTTCTAATGTCATGCTCTGACTGCCAAATAAAGGACATGGAAGCATTCGTAGCCTGCCCTGGATCCTCAGGATCATAAGGAGTATACATGTGATAGACCTCTTTCAGTCTTTCTAGAAAGGCAGTGAGAGATTCATCAGAGCCCTGCGTTACCTGCTTTACCTGAGCCAAATTGGTGGGGCGGCTCCCTGCCCCTCGGAGGCCCGTTATGAGCAACTGACGATAAAGGCGTAGGTGTCCCCTACGTACTTCCGTAGAGAAGTCCCATTCAGGTCTGGTAAGGGGAAAAGCTGCATCCAGCTCATTTGGCAACAGAGTTGGCCTCCCATCCTCTCCCAGGATATTTTTCCAAGCCTCTAGAAAAACATTTTGTCTTTCCTCGGATGTGAGGAGCATCTGCAACAATTGTTGGCAGTTGTCCAAGGTGGGCTGATGAATGATGAGGATAGATTCAATCAAGCTAGTTAAGGCTACAGGATCCTTTGAGAAAGGAGGGTTATGTTGTTTCCAGTTATAAGGATCAGAGGCTGAAAAAGGCCAATATTGTAAGCGGCCATCCCCTCCTTGACGTAAGGGGAAAGCTTGAAAGAGAGAGATGTTTTCTGAAGAGACTGGTTCCCTATGCCTCCGCAGATGTGCCACGACAGGAGAATTGGGAGGCAAGGTAGTCATGGTGGTGTCCGGTTTCTCTTGAACTGCGGAGACTGACTTGGGCCAGTCCTCCATCCTGCCGGCTGCGCGGCAGGTTGTGGTGCCTGAGAGGGTGGATGGTAAGGAGGGGGGTTCTCAGATAGGAGATCTGTAAGGGGGGTATCTGAGTCAGGTGGCAAGACAGGTTTGGGGGGATCTTTCTTAATTAGGGTAGGGTAGAGAGCGGAGGAAGGGGGTTCGGGTGAGATGGGGAGCAGGGAGTGGGGGAGCAGTGGGAGAAGTCAAAGATGGTCATTTGGGTGGGACAAAGGGGGCCACCCAGGGAGGAGGATTGCAGGCTAAGCTCTCCCAGGTGATGATGTAGGTAACCTGGTCTGGGCGCCCATGTGGTCCTTTGTCACAGACTCTTTCCTTGACCTGTAAAATACTAGTAATGTTAAAAGTCCCATCCCTTGGCCATCCCACATTAAAGGTGGGCCATTCAGAGGTGCATAGTATCTGCCATTTCTTTTTCTTTATTTCAATCGACTGGTAGGCACGGTTGTGGACTTCAGCCCAATGATCTAAAGTCAAACTCAGGGGGGTAGTCATGGACTGACCCATAGTTAATTCAAGGTAGGAAATAATACAGACAAATAACACAGACAAAAGTACCAGACAGCCGGCTAAACAGACGTGCTTCACGTTTTCGGCATAAAACCAAAAGCAAAAATTCAAATGGTGAGTCAGAGACATGAGGTCCCTGTTCCCTCTGCAGAACAATGTATCCTTCAGACACGTATTGAGCCCCGAACAGGCGGGCGCCCGGAATCCCTGGAATGTCTCCCAGGGTGGCAGGGGAGAAGTCCGAGCTCATCACTTCCTTCTCAAGCCGCCCAGAGTATCAAATGACATGGATCCGAGTCTCCTATACAGACGCAGCGCAACACATCCGAGACAGAACATGACTGCCGACAGACAGGAACGAGCAGTGGCTGGCCAGCTTACCTCCTGGTGGGTTGTTGGGTGGGTTGGGCAGGGGTCTCCCAACCTCTCTGGGGCCTCCAATGAAAGAATGAAAAACCTCCCAGAGGGTGTCTTAACCACGTGGAGAGAACCTCGCCCAAGAACCGAGTCCGAGCCACTGGATGCAAAAGCAAAGGCAATTTTTTTTATTGTTCACACAGGGCCTGTGTGTGCTGCAGTCACATGGAGAACTGAGCACCCTGGGCTGGGTTTTGGGGCAGATTATATAGGGTAGGGGTAGGCAGAAGCGAGCGTACAGAAGCAGATCCATGGTTACAGGGGTCTCATTGGTCAATTTTAATGAGGTCATGTCTAAGACAGGTGTCAGCTTTCCGCTGGGTGCCTGACAGTTTGGGGGCTTTTCGACAGTTTGGGGACTTTCCATCCTCCCCCTTAATCTTGTTCACGTGGGTAGCATAACTCCTGGTGTCTAACCGCAGGCATCCTGTTATGCAGACTCGACAATAACATCTGTGCCATTGTTATGAGCCCCAAGACCTTGTTATGAGCCCCCAGTTCTTGGTTCAAGCCTTGCATATAATGGCGTTACAGCAGCTAAACAGCCAGGCAGGGGTCTTTCACTATTACCCCTTAGGAATTCTAACTGTCACTCTCAACAGGATTGTGACACCATTCTGAGTATTATTGAGCTTCATTAGGGTTCTGATTTCGTTGAAACAAAACTGATGTTCATTAGCTTAACTAGGTGAAAGTTTCTCCTTTTTTTCTCAAAATAATCCTTCAAATAAGGTGAAACCATTTAACTAAAATTGCTCCTTTCTATAGAGATGCATTTAAAACTCCTAATTTTATTTCTTTGTTACCAATGTAAGGTTTAGTTAGTTAACATGGCTGGAGGTATTTTTGTTGGTTAAAAAGCATATTCTGCCCGAATTTATCCACACATCTTTGGACATGGATGCATGTTCCTCAACCTACAGATTATTCATTTATTTCAAAGTCTTCAGCTCCTGCATTACAATTTGCAAAAATTCTGTATTTCTTAAAGATATCTGCTGTTTGTTAGAACTTGACTCCCATATAAATGTGCCAGCATCCTGAAATTAGGCATCTGATTTGAGAGCACATGCCCACTTTCGAATGAACTGTCATATGAAATGTCATACATCATATGAGCTTTTTCACCCTGGGGTTTAGCATAAAGCTTTTCATCATCACTACTTAGGTTTCAGAAGAGATCTGTGTCTTTGTTTTGTAGTGTTTGATATTATGATAATCGAACAGCCACAAAGTTTTAAAAAATAATGGGGGAATACAAAAATAATGTAGTATAGAAAAATATAAGATTTGAAGTATGACCAAAACAAGAAAAGATAAAAGAGTCTGATAAATGATGGTTACATGAGAAAGCAACAGCATTGGAATGCTGATGGTAAACATGTTGATAAATATTCACTAGAGTGTTCAACTTTAGCTATAACTGTCATAAAACATCATTTTATACCAAAATTACTCACTCACATTTGCTTAAAGAGCTAAATATTTGTATTGTTTTTTCTCTAATTTTTCCTGATTAATACATACTACTAACCATTATGCTTGGACTCAGAAAAAATTGTATGCAATGGTTAGATTAAATTTAATATCCCAAAGGAAATGATATCTTCTTTGAAGACAGTGTTTGATAAGAAGAAGATTTGTTGGCTGAAACTGTTAGTTTGTATCCAAATGTCCTGACTTAAAATAAACACTCAGATACTATATTATTTGAAATACTGTTTGGCCAATAGCTTAAGAGTAGTGCTAGCTAGCTCTTATATCCTAGACTAACCGATCTACACTAATCTATGCACCACCATGACGTCGTGGCCTTTGGGAAATTTTGTCAGGCTCCAGCAAAGCTGCTCTGGCAGCAGCTTCATGGCTTCTCCCTGACTCCATCTGATTTATTTATATATCAAAGGCCTTGCTTTACTCTGTTGAGATATTGGTTGAAATCTGCTTCTTTATTAACAAATGGCAATAAAAGATATTCATAGCATATATCACCTCCCAAATCACCTTCTTTTTTCTCTCTAAATAAAAAAGAATGATTTAAATTTACCATAGTAAAATTCCATGTAACAAAGCAGTTATTTAGCAAGAATTACAGTTACAATAATAATAATAATAATAATATCTATTGTGTCTTTTATCATAATTAAGAAAAACTATAATTATAACTATTCATTCTTCAATTCCATCAATGTCTCCAGAAGATATGATAAGTTAACAGGAAGTACACTGTAAGCAAATTCCAAAACTCTAGAGTTAAGAGAGTCATCTCACTGCCTGGACAGTCACCCAAAGTTCTTCTGTAACTTTGCAGGTACCTATCTTCAGCTAAATGACCCATAGTTTTTGGCAAACTTTATATAAAAATTTCTAAGACAGTTTTACCTATGAGGGCAGTTTGTCAGTCACTTTCTTCTATCTCCTGAAGAATGTCTTGTGGACTCTTTAATGAAGCAAGATTCCTGAAGGACTTTCTCACCTTCTTAGGCAGCTTCAGCAGTCATTTTTCTGTTGGTGCTGCATTTCCAATTCATACAGTATATCATCAGTCTATCCATGTAGGAGCATTTTCTTGCCCAAATGGCTAGCAAACTCCATAAGGAGACTGCTAGATGCCCATCTTCATCTTGAAGTATTAGGTGCTGTCAGGGCCAGTAGTATATAAATCCCATTGTCATAAAAAGTCCCAAGTTGTGAAAATATTTTAAATGTTGTATTCTGTTAGTCTTTGATAGGCTTGAATAATAGCTATCCATTTGAAATATATCTCTGTACCTCTAGAAAAGCTAAATAACATGACTATAATCTTGACAATTATAGATGACATATTAACATATGTTTCTAAATTATACACTATATTTTGAACTAACTCCACTTAAAATACCTTAATCAAGAGCAGAAACATATATATTATTTATAACAAAATTGATCTTAAATTTGTATAAATAGTCAAAATCTATACTAATGCAAATTTCTATAGTATATCACCCTTTAAATGAAAACAAAATTTATGAAAAATATTTTTGGATTTGACCATAGTTCTTTCTTAATTGCTTCCTTCTGTTTATTGGTCAAAGTAATTTGGCAGGGCTATTGAGACCTTTAAGGCCTTCTTGTTCCATTGAATCACATTAGTCTTGAGAAATCCACTGGTTCCCCTCCTCTCTGGAAAGGAAGTAGAACCTTTTTTGCAAATCAACATATCCTTAACTAGAACCAAATTTTGAAGTCAAGATACCTTTAAAGCTCAAATGTTGGTTGAAATTAGCACCACATGAAATGTCTCTCTGTCCTTAACTCATTCAAAATGAAAAATAAAAAAAAAGACATTATTATACATAATCCAGTCTCTGTGTATTTTCCATCATTACGTGACATATTCTTCTTTACTCATTTAATCTATTACTATCTATACTCTGTCAATTTAAAGACTTTGTTTTTCTTATTTTCAACCAGATGTTTCTGTTTATAGCTTAACTGTTTTCTGAGCAGAAGTATTTTTATATGCTATGTAGTTATGGCTAGGACTAACTCTGCCATCTTGCCTGTCAGCTCCACTCAGTCATTCCATCATGGTGAAGACATGTTTACTGCCTCTGAGAGCATTTCTCTCAGATCCAGATCCAGGCTTGTGTCTCATCAGGTCTGTGTTGCCATTAAGTAAGTTGTAGCACTCTGCTCACAAACCCCAGTTAAATGCTCTGTATCCAGGCCACCAAAAAGAATCATAGATAATCCTGCAACTAGCATGAACCAGGGAGCGTTCTTAACAAAGTCTTGAAGTTTTTTGATGCTACCACTGAGTCAGAAAGCATACTGCAAAAGAAAATCATGCCTCTCCTTGCTACTAGCAGACAGAGACTATGCAAGAAAATGCTACTATCAAAAACCATGCTTAAATCTTTCCTTTTTCCTAGCATTCCCCTTTAGGCATTCTCAGGTTTTATGTGGATATAGTTGACCATGCTACTAGTTAATTCCATGACCACCCTTACTAGAAATAATAACTAAAAAAACTAAATTATTTGTACTACTCTTTGGCCTGTTGCTTACCA